CCCATTAACTATATCTATTGTACAATTGTATTTCTTCATAAAGTCGAGTCCAATGACTCCATCAAGAGAAAAATCTGCTACAATGACATCTTGGCTATAAAAACTCTCACCCAGATTAATGCAAATGCTAGTTTTTCCTTTCACAGTTAAGTCGGTCCCACATGCGGAAGAGACTATTTGATCGGTTTTGTACAAAACTGGTTTGTTTTGTATAGCCTCATAAACTTTACTTGACAGTACTGATAGTGTTGCTCCTGTGTCAACAAGCAAATTCGCTTCAATCCCCTGGATGGTAGCTTTCACGTACATTCCAGCCTCAGGGTCATTCTGGTTTACCCCAACTTGAGCTTTGTAAGACGTGATGCATTTGAATGTGTTTTGTACAGGATGTTTCTTTGTACTATATGAGTATTTCTTTTGTGATGATGCGTTTTGTTGAGTTCTATAACCTTGTGGACAGTCATATCGGAAATGATTTGGAGATCCACACAAATAGCAGCGTCTGTTGCTGGTAGCTCCAGGTTTCTTTTTGTATACAACATCCTGGGAATTCTTTGCTTTCATGTCATTAACTTCCTTACGAAGTTTTCTTATTTCATCCTTCAGCTCTACCAATATACTTGTGCTGATCTGATCAGATATGGTTTTCTTGTTTCCCTCAGTTTTCTCTGACTGCATTGGTCGTAAGTGGGTTTGTTTTTCGAACATTTTACGATCAGATTTAACAAATGCTTCCAATTCGACAGCATGTCGAATAGCATCATTGAGATTTAATGGCCTTGCTTGTTTTATTCTCAATCTCATGTCAGCATCTAGGAGGGCATCAATAAACTGTTCTTTTGCCAGTGTTTCTTGTACATCTCTTGGCGCCGTTGGGTATGCCAAGCTTGTGAGTCTTCTTATGGATTGTCCCAGTTCTGGTAAAGTTTCCGTTGCTCGTTGTCGGCGTTCTCGCAGCTGGGTCCTTTACAAGTCATTTTGATTCGAGGGTGCAAATCTCTCCTCTAATGCATTCACAAGTAAGACATAGTCATGCTTGTGTGTGTTAGGCAAATTCCCCAGTACACCCTGAGCCTGTCCTCGTAAGGAAACTGCTAAATATAAACCTTTCTCTAGATCCGTCCACTTATTCAACATGGCACATGCATCAAAATGGGAACGATAATCTAACCAGGATCCCGTACCATCAAATGTTTATATGAGTCTGTGGTTTCTTCTCTGTTGCCGTTATGATATCGGTCTCTGTATCTTGTCTACTAAAGCGACGATCCTTTCGGCGATTAGTAATGTTTGACTCTGTTGCACTTCCAGAGACTGGTGTTGACATTAAATATCCAGGTCTTTTGCCCTCATCGGAAGGAACACTACTTGTACCAAACAACATTTCATCTTCCCAAGAAACTTTTCCTATGGGATGCTTTTTCGGTTTAACATCACCGTGAAAGTCTATATCAGAAAATCTGCCTGATGCAAAACCTGAATCTTTTGATTTCGTATCTGATCGAACATCTGGGGTACTTGTTTTATTAGCACTTGTATCCTTGGCTAAACTAGCATTGTGAATGTTTAAACTGTCATTTTTCAACTCTTGTAGCTTCTGCTCTATGAACGTTATTTCTTTGTCAATGTCGTGAATGTCCGTGTCAGCCATGTTTTACAATATGCCCACAAAATGAAAACAAATAATAGATCAACAAATGATACAAAATAGATAAACGTAATATTCCTTAAACCGCTGCCACCAAATTTGTAACGTTTTTACAAAGTACAAATAATTATTTAATAGGTCCGCTTGGGATTCCTTCCTAAGTATCACGTTTATAATATGAATCAAATAAACTTCAACAACAATGGCACTATAACAAGAAACTGACTGAAATTCACTATGTGTATATACTTTTTCCTCGGTCCTATCTGGATAAATGATTAGCAAACAAATATAAACTTAACGACAACGAATTATAAGAAAAGAATCAACCACAATTGAATCACTAACGATCAAGCAAATAATCAAATATGAAGTTATAACACTGTAGTTGCAGACTGAGTGATTTAACCAACAATCCTGTTGTTTCCCGACACAGTCTGCAACTACCTAAAAAACACACCCTAAAAGTCACTGAGACACCTTTTATTAAAAGTCACCAAGACACTATTTTAAGTCACCAAGACACTATAGTCACTGAGACACACTATTAAGGAACTAGGTTCCTGAGCTGAGTGGTGTAACTAACAATTCTGTTGTTTCCCGACACAGCCCAAGAACCTAGTCCAGGAGGTGTTACTCGAACGATGAGTAAAGACCAAGTAACCGAAATCTTCTTGAGCGTCCGTATTTATACCTTATTCTAATTACTAATGATTGGTTGATGATTCTGGAACTCTGATTGGTTATAATATCAAGCGCTGATTGGTCAATTATACAATGATTCGATTGGTCTATTTCAAAGGCATTTCAATCCAATATGATTTTCCGTTTCATTACACTTGTAAATATATAATTCACTGTGCTTGTCCACGTTGGGAAAATTATGACACAGGAAGCAAGACACAGTGTCTAAATGATCTTTGCGAAACTCTTACGAGAGCTCTTGTAACTGCATGTGATAAAGGTGTTAAATCTGTTGCATTGGCTCCTATAGGTTCAGGTAAGTGAATGTTGTTTCCAGTATAGTTGGAATACATACATTAATTCCTCTTTGTTTTAATTGCCAAAGTTTCGGAAGTCTAATTTAAGTTCTAATTTCTAAGTGCAAACTATCTTTTTCAGGTAAAAAAAATTGGAATTCCAGATATGCATCTGCAGCAATGTATATAAAAGCTATACAGGAATTATTGAAATTTCTACCTGGCATGAATAATCCAATCAAAGAAATGCATTTTATTGATAAAAAAGAGGACATGGTAGAATTAGTAACAGAAACATATAAAATTGCTCGTGAGGATCCAGAGTATCTTGATGAAAAATCTGTAATAATGCGTGTGAACGATCTACAAAAATATCAAGGGCCAGCTTAATATCCCAGAGATTTTTCAACTTCATCCCATCCACTTTTGTGCCAGGACAACAGCATTTCCCATTGCCATACACAACATCTACCGTACTTTCATACCCCAGCAATTCACTTCCTGTACTCATTTACCCCAGCAATCCAACTCCTGTACCCCCATATCCAAGCAATCCAACTCCTGCACCCCCATATCCAAGCAATCCAACCCCTGCACACCCATATCCAAGCAATCCAACTCCTGTATTCTCATATCCAAGCAATCCAACTCCTGTACACCCATATCCAAGCAATTTAACTCAGTCTCAAACACCCCCACAATCCTCTGTTCATACTCCAAGAATGTCTTACTGGAAACACATTAGTTCCAGCGGAGAGACCGAAATCTTTGAGGTTAATAACCTATGTGTATTCATTTACACCGAGGACCTCACAAAAATTCAAAACGTCGACATTCTGGTGTCAACAGAAAATGCCAAAGTACCTGGAAACGGCCAACTTGCAAAAGCAATTCTCGAAAAAGCAGGAAAACCGTATCAGAAGGAGCATGCAAAACTGTTTTCAGGAAAGAAAAAACGTAACACCACCGAAGTTTTACAAACGGGTGCAGGCCATCTTGGTTTTAAAATCGTATTGCATGCCATAATTGATAAATTTCCGGATGATCTTCCCTCAGGATTTTACCATCAACAATTATGGGATACAACGCTTAAATACTAAATGCAGCAAACAAGGAAAAGGTTAAAAAGAAGAAATTGTGTTCCATTGCTTTGTCGTTATTAGGAACAGGTGAGTATATTTACTGGAAATGACCCATAAATTAAGGATCGTGTTCATTTATTTAATTACAAGTATTCTTGAGATCTGATTTTTAGCAAGGCCGAGAGCTGTTAATTTTTTTTCATAACAAGAAGATATATATTGTTGTGACCTTCAAATTAAGTTTTTCTGTTTTTTTTAACTTGTATTGAAACTACCTTGTTCTTTAAATCGATGTTGTTTGTAAGAATTTTTTAAGGGCTTGCACTTTTTTAGATAAGTTTCTTACATATATTGGGTTTTTTTTTGCATTATTAGGTTCAATTCAGAATCCACAATATCTAGCAACATATGCTACCGTTATGCTATAAGCCATTGAATGTTTCTCATCAGCAGAGAGTGTCAATTTAAAGACGATCCATATTGTCAATTTTACCGAACAAACTACGAAAGTAGTTGTCGATGTGTTTAGATCCTTCTGTTTAGGTTCAAATCACCCAAGAGACCGACAGGTAAAGAAAAAGGAGTTAAAGAAAGAGATTGCGAAAGATTTTCGTAAGGATTCATGCAAGTTTAACTCTAAAAATTATAAAAAGGTCGATTCTTGGAGATCATCTGCAAACCACAAGCAAAATATGGAATCATTTTTGGTATCCGTGCCTCCCAAAAATGCCTCTCTCGGAAAGTGTAAAGATCCCTCTTCAGATCAAAAGCCTGGATCAAAAACCTGTACAAGAAATCTTCGAATGATCAACTCGGATTCTGAAGAAAGTGAAAACGAGATTTCAGACAACCAATTTGATGGTGAACTTTCAGAGAAAGGTGCGTGCGCTGATGTAGGAGACAAAAATGATAATTTGTGCGTCATTTGTATGGACGATGAAATGACCGACCCAGTACAGTTAAAAGATTGTCAACACGAGTTCTGTCGTGAATGTATCACAGAATATTTACACCATAAATCGGCATGCCCTGTTTGCAATACGGTTTATGGGGAAATGTACGGAAATCAACCAGAAAGCGGGACTGCTATAGTATATCTGTATGATGCTTCTCTTCCGGGATACAGCTGTAAAACACTGATTATCAGTTATGAATTTCCGGATGGAAATCAGACGGTAGCCATTTTGTTTTATCTTATTCAGTTCAATATATTTTGTACTTTTACAACATATTCTTGATATAAGTATTTTTTTAATTTTGCAGTATGAATTATTCTTGATTCGAGGACAATATTCACGAAATATTTCATTCACATTTGATTTCTTTTCTGACATGAAAACCACCCTAATCCTGGAAAACCGTATCATGGCCTTTCCCGCCAAGGTTACCTTCCGGACAATGAAGAGGGACGTCTCATTCTGGGAATGCTTAAACGTGCTTTCGAACATCGTCTGATATTCACGGTTGGTTTTTCTCGAACTTCCGGTAGAGACAACGTGGTCACGTGGAACGACATCCATCACAAAACAAGGAGAGATGGAGGGCCTGAAAAGTAAACGTTAATAATTTTAATAAAACCAAACAAAAAAAATATTGAAAAAGTCAAAAACAAATGCAGACTTGACTGTTCATGAAACAAATTTTTTGTCTTTTAATGCTTCATTACTTTGTTTTTATTTCTGAATATTTATCAGAAATATTTAATTTAGATTATCTTATAGTTCGTATTTTATTGTTTCAGATTTGGTTATCCAGATCCAGAATACTTAGCAAGAGTTAGAGATGAACTGAAGGCCAAAGGAATTTCAGAGGAATGAAAACTGAGACTTTTCCTGAAATGACAATAAAGATGATGTTCTTTAGGCCATCGGTACAATTTTGTTTGTTTGCCCTTTGGAGTTCTGGCTAAAATTAGACCAACTCAAAACTTTTTTTAACATGCAGGAAACAATTTTTTCTCTCTCCAGAATATTTGCAACCCGACAACATCTATTTTGGGGTTTATTAATAAACACCACCACCCACCGCTTTTAAAAAAGATGTTGAGCATTCAGCATTTATGTTGAAAATCCATAAGAAAAAATTGCCCACCTACCTACTGACCCATTTTTTCATCCTGAGACTTGAGAGGGTAAACAAACAATATTTTCTTGAAGAAGACTTTACATGTACATTTCTCCCTAACATTATACTCCTACAATTTTGCTTCTATTAATTATTCCACAATGCTTTTTTCTAAAAAATGATATGTTTTTGTCGGTGTTGCAAAGACGCCAGTATTATTCCAACATTTTAAAATAGTCTTCTTGAGATATCAATGCCATTTTCGTTTTGTAAAATCATTCTCCATGCAATGCTCTATTCAATGAAACTGTATTTTAATATGGTCCATAAGAATACAAGAAAGGTAGATTTTCCCGAAAATCTGAGTGTAAACAGAAGTCAATGTACCCTCCATATCCGTATTTTAAAAAAAAAACGTTTCTATGCTGTAGTTTTTGTACACACACACAGAAACTAAAAACAAGTCAGGTATTTTAATAAAATCGTAGCATACAGGTAAACTTTTCAGAAGTAAAACTAATGGGTTTCATTGACTGGACCTTACTACAATGAACATTTTCTTAATCTATTTTGAATAATGCTCTCCTGTTCGTATGAATTAATTCATAGAAATGTAATGGATTGAAATGAATACTTTTATATTTAATTAATAAATAGACGTTGACATTTAATCATGAATCACACGAGTTTACAAATACAGCTGAAGCTGTAACACATATATTGGTCATATCATATCTTCAGACTTAAATACATAATTAAATATGGCTGCTAGGAAAAAATGTCAAAGGTAGCACCCTAAGAAAAGTCTTGTCACGAGGAATACACCTGTGAATGTGAAAGCTATAGCCCCACTCACTCAAAAGTTATTGTCAAGGTTGAAATTTTTGCGGACAGACAAACAGATAAGCAGACAGTTGGACAGGACAAAATCTATATACCCTTCAAAATTTCGATTACGGAGCATAGAAATGTTACTTTTCCATGAACTATGATATTAAGAAATATATTGTCTCATAAAGGGGTATTATCCGCGCCTTGCAATATGTCGGCTCAATTTAAGAATGGTAAAATTGTTTCTACTCGACCATTTCAAATATACTTTATGATTTAAAAATCTGTGTTTCTCTTTCTTTATCAATCATAAATCGGTGAAAGTATGATAGAATTATACATGTATATGGATCTTTGGTCTAAATCAGACAGGTGAAATTAAAATAGGTGAGCCATCCAGAATCCACTTCACTATCCTTTTATCCGATATTATGATAAGTGACAGTATATGGCTATTGAACTTCTGGTAAACGTTATATTCAGCACGACAGTTCAAATAAACTAAGTCTTTGTCCTATCTTTTCGTGAAATTGCATAATTTTAAAAATTTCAAAGTCATACTTTTCTTAAAAAGGAAATGGAATAATTTACTATCTAGAGTGGAATTGATACACGGAAAAACCCTGGAGTGAAGGACACATGTAATAGATTCAGCAATGCACATCACTAAAAAAATCTATTTTTATTTTGACGTACCTGTAAGCAGCCATTTATTCCGGTATAACAATTTTGTATGTGTTTCAGTAGATACATTGTAGATTAGAATAGAAAAGAAAATACATTGTAATACGAAATCAACACCATACCTGGTAAATTCAAAATTTATAACATGACATAGCAATTAATTTCACTGTAATTTAAATACATATTGGTCGCTTTTAGCATTTTTGATGACCCTATACAGATTAAAATAGACCAGTTCGACTAGTCTTTCCAAATATGAAAAATATATTTTATATGAACATGAATAGAACATTTACGTCAATAAATAATTACAGATTGTTCAAGATAATGAATTAGGTACTGACTAAATGATAATGAAACATACAGATAAGCTGTCGAAGCAACTGACTATATTTTTCTAAAACTTAAAACTACACTGTATATGCAGTTTTACTTCATATATTCAAAAGCCTGACATATTTTTTGTTATAAATTCGCACATGAAAACATAAAACAAGAGAAGAGTAAATACCAGGCTTCGGGTAATGCTAATTGTAATGGAAATGTATTGTAATGCATTACATGAACTCAAAGTAATGCTTGTAATGTGTAATGCCCAAAAATTTGCATTACATGTAATGATAATGTAATGCATTACTTCATAAAATCCAGTGTACTGGTGGCATTACATAGCATTACAAAGCTTTATTTTGTATGTACCTATTTTAAGAAATTAAAATGGACATGGATGATGGAACTTATTGTTTAGGTTATTTTTAGGTCTTTCCACCTTTCTGTGGAAAGACCTATTGATATTCTTCTGTTTATTATTCTTTTTTAGGTCTTTCCACCTTTCTGTGGAAAGACCTCTTGAAATGCTTATGTTTTTTATTATTCTATTTCTCACCTTATGTTTTGACACCGTAAGACTTATCGAAAAACTTTATAGTTCATGATACTGGATATTTAAAGTTATTCCGAAAAATGACCCCCCATGTTTTAACTTAGTCTCCTTATGCAGTTATTGCCCCTTTCACCGTAAAACTTGTTATCGCTACTCCTCCGAAACCGTAAACCGTAGAGATGCAGAACCTTCACTAACGTCTTCAACTAATTTAGGAGACTTTTCAATCTATTCATTGCAAAAGTTTTCTTTGACCCCTTCAATGAGTAACTGCCCCTGAAAGTTTATAAATTTTATAAAAAACTAAAAAATTTCAAAACGAGAAGGCGTAGAGACATGAAACAAACTGCATATGTTTCATTGACCTTTGACCTTCAAATTCATTTCATGGTCAAAGGTCAAGGTCATTCCAAATATGAGGTATAGATTTCTTTTAATAGCTCTTATATCCTTAAACATATACAATCTATCTTCTGTCTGTGATATGCACTCTTAATACTCTTTCAAGGATTTCATTCTTGTCCCCTAAGATTGACCCTTTTAAAAGTTATTGCCCCTTGTGCAAAAAACCTTGTTATCGCTACTCCTCGGAAACCATAGACCGTAGAGACACCAAATCTTCACTAATGTCTTAAGGGTCTTCAGGCCTAACTTCATTGTATAAGTGCGAAAGGATCTGATGACCCCTTATATGAGTTATTCCCCTTTAACGTCTTTGTTCTTACTATTAAACCTTATAACTTGAAAAGTATAAGTCGTAGAGGCATGGGGTCAATTTCATTGTGACCCTTGACCTTTGACCTTGAAGATTTTTTCAAGGTCAAGGTCATTTCAATTTTTTATTTTCATTTTTTAAATTTATCCTTTTAAGACAATTTTGTTTTCTTATTTATGGAATTTAATTTTAAGGAGATAAATATTAAATGAAATTGAAATTCAAAGAAGGTGGAAAGACCTCTAATTGTTCGAGAACAATTAGTCTACTAGTTTTTAGGTCTTTCCACCTTTCTGTGGAAACACCTATTGATTTCCTTCTGTTTCTTCTTTTTTATTATTTTTCCGCCGTGTGATTTTTTGTTTCAAGATTTATCGAAAAGATTTTTAGTTGATAAGAATGTACTTCGTAAAAGATTATTGCAGTTCACCCTGCGTAAATGAACCTTGACCCCTTTCAAAGTTATTGCCCCTTTCGCAAGAAATGCTTGTTATCGCTACTCCTCTGAAACCGTAAACGGTAGAGGTATGAAACCTTCACCAATGTCTTTGACTAATTAAGGGGACTCTTCAATCTTTTCATTGCAAAAGCATTCGGTGACACCTTCAATGAGTTATTGCCCCTGAAACTTTTTGCATTTTACAAACAATTAAAAATTTTCAAAACAACAAGTCGTAGAGACATGGGACCAGCTGCATATGATTCATTGACCTTTGACCTTAAAATTCATGTAAAGGTCAAAGGTCAAGGTCATTCCAAAAATGGAAAATTTAGCTCTTTTTATATCTCTTTTGTCTTTTAACATATACTTAATGTCTACACATCCTTAATATGTACTCTTAAAACTGTTTCAAAGATTTCACTCTTGTCCCCTAATATTAACCCTTTTAAAAGGTATTGCTCCTTGTGCGAAAAACCTTGTTATCACTACTCCTCCCAAACCGTAGACTGTAGAGACACCAAACCTTCACTAATGTCTTAAGGGTCATTAGGCCTAACTTCACTTTATAAGTGCTAAAGGATCTGATGACCCCTTATATGAGTTATTGCCCTTAAACTTTTTTGTATTTACTATTAAACCTTATTACTTGAAAACTACAAGTCATAGAAGCATGGGGTCAATTGCATTGTGACCCTTGACCTTTGAACTTGAACATTTTTGCAAGGTCAAAGGTCAAGGTCATTAATTTGTTTTTTTTTATTTTCATTTTTTTCTATGCTTTAAGATAGTTCTGGTTTCTTTTTCATGGAATTTAATTTTTAGGAGTCAGGTATAAAACAATTTTAAAATTCAAAGAAGGTGGAAAGACCTCTTATTGTTCTGTGAACAATAAGTCTCCTAGTTAGGTCTTTCCACCTTTCCGTGGAAAGACCTATTGAAATTGTTCTGTTTTTTATTAGGTCTTTCCACCTTTCCGTGGAAAGACCTATTGGTATTTTTCTGTTTCTTATTATTAGGTCTTTCCACCTTTCTGTGGAAAGACCTATTGAAATTGTTCTGTTTATTATTATTTTTCTTCCGCTGATTTTTTGTTTCGAGGTTTATCGAAAAGATTTTTTGTTCATCGTAAAGGTCATTGAAACGTATGGAAAGATTTGATGCCTTTACAATGAACTATGACCCTGTTTGGAGTTCTTGCCCCTTGCACGAAAAACATTGTTATCGCTACTCCTTTGAAACCGTAAATCGTAGAGATATAAAACCTTCACCAATGTCTTTGACTAATTAAGAAGACTTTTCAATCTATTCATTGTGAAAGTATTCGGAGACCCCGTCAATGAGTTATTGCCCCTGAAACTTTTTGAATTTCACAAATACTTAAAAATTTTCAAAATGAGAAGTTCCAGAGACATGAGACCATCAGCATAAGATTCATTGACCTTTGATCTTAAAATTTATGCAAAGGTCAAAGGTCAAGGTCATTCCAAAAATGAAAAATTTAGCATTTTTTAATCTTTTTTTTGTCTTTTAACATATACAATCTGTCTTTGCATCATTAGGATGTACTCTTAAAATTATTTCAAAAATTTCATTCTTGTCCCTTAATATTTACCCTATTAAAAGTTATAGCCCTTTGTGCGAAAAACCTTGGTATTGCTATTGCTCTGAAACTGTAAACCGCAGAGACATAAAACCTTCACTAATGTCTTAAGGAACTTTAGGCACACCTTTTATGTTAAAGTGCGAAAGGATCTGGTGACTCCTTGAATGAGTTACTGCCCTTAAATGCTGTTGTGCTTACCATTAAACCTTATAACTTTACAACTATAAGACATAGAGGCATGGGATTAATTACATTGTGACCCTTGACCTTTGACCTTGAATATAACATGAAGGTCAAAGGTCAAGGTCACCTCCAAATTTTTAAATTTTTCATTTTTTTTCTTCTTTTAAGCCATTCTTGGTTTCTTTTTGATGAAATATAATTTTAAAGAGATAAATATTAAATGAAATTGAAATTCAAAGAAGGTGGAAAGACCTCTTATTGTTCTGTGAACAATAAGTCTCCTAGTTAGGTCTTTCCACCTTTCTGTGGAAAGACCTATTGATTTCCTTC